CAAATTTTAGCTGCTATTTTTGTTAAATCAAAATTTCACAAACATGAATACAAACTGAAGTCAATCCAACAAGCGCTCAAAAAAAGGCTTGAAAATTATACTTCATCTCCAGCTAAGATGACGGATTCCATATTGGAAAGAACTAGAAAGACTATCTTATTAGATAGATGTATCGATAATTTCTCCTCATCACGTGATTTACTAACAGATGAAACACAAGTCAAACAGGATGTGGCTCGTCATTTTCAAATGGCAGCTGGCACATCCCATGAGCATATTGAAATTATGGATGAGTGGATCCCATCATACAGACCAGTGGAGTGTATTGATAATTCAATTTATAACGAGCTAATGTCTTCTCCAGAAGCTGATGAGTGGTACAATATCATTAATTCGTTACCTGATGGTAAAGTGGCAGGTCCTTCTAAAGTTTTGAATGAAATGTTAAAACATTTGGGTTCCTTCTCCAGAAAACTTTTATGGTTCATAATTTGTGGTTGCCTCATAACATCATCATTACCATATAGGTGGAATCATGCGTTCATTTATCCAATCCCAAAACCAAAACCGTGGGAATTTGATTTGAATAACACAAGACCTATTACACTGCTCGAGTGTTCTCGTAAAGCACTCATCAAACTCCTTAATCATCGACTTTCTACCATAATGGTCAAGCACAACATCTTAAAAGGATTCAACTTCGCAGGCCTACCTTTTAAATCAACATTTGAACCCCTTCATATTATTGATAATATCAAATATGATACTTTACATAACAAAAGTGAGCTTTAGATCCTGTTACAAGATATGTTCAAAGCATACGATCGGGTCAATTTGTTTATGCTAATCAGAGCGTTAGAATGACTGCATGTTCCTTTTAACTTTATCCGTTTCATTATGAAAATGTTCGGGAGCTGTTATAATCAAATTTTCACTATGTTCAGTAACACTGATACATATCGTGTGATGTCTGGTATTGACCAAGGTGAAATTACTTCACCCTTTTTATGGTGTATTTATTACAACCCACTTCTATGTAGGATTCAAAACTCAGAGCATGGTTATTCTCTTACATATACATGGAAACCAAACATCATGACCAATATCAAGGAATCCACCACCATTAAAGCATCAACATTAGCATTCATGGACGATACCCTGTGGATCGCAAAATCACAGGAGGATTTAGACCAAATCATACATATAGCGGATAGCTTCTATCAACTCAATTCTATTAAAATGAACTGGGAAAAATCTGTTTTACTCACAAATCGTAATGACAATAATAACCATTTACTTGCATTATCAATGGTACTCCTACTGTAATTTCTCCGCTCTCACTTAACGAATCTACAAGATACTTAGAGGTTTGGATATCACTCGGGCGTAATAAAACCTTCACCCACAAATTAGTCAAAAGCAAAATAAAAAATGCTGTTACAATAATATTCAAAAAACGGCTCACTGATAAACAGCTCACATATATATTCAATACTGTTCTTGTTCCGAAGATCGAATATAGAGCACAATTAATAGCATTCACTGACCAACAATGTCACCAAATCGTTTTTCCTTACAGATTATTTATGAAAAAGAAGCTACAATTAACACGTTCTACACCTCACACAATCCTGCATTCACATTTGTTTTATAATCTCACCAATTTACATCACCAATTATTTGTTGCGCATAGTGAAGGTCTCCTTTTCGCCATTAATGATAATAATCTTTTGGGCATTTCTACCAAACATAGACTCAAACAACTCCAACAAAAAGAATGGTTAGCTAGCTCTCCGTTATTATGTTGGCCTTATACTACCCCTGCAAAAGATTCAGATTGGTTAGCTAATGTTTTATGTAAATGGAACAAATCCGTTATCACAGTTCAAGTACCAACAACTTTTCATAACATCATCAAAGGAGGAAATATTTCATTACACACAGTGTTTCCCGAACGATACAAAGAATTTGCTGCTAATCTAAGGAAATATTCGTTACTGTTCTTAGAACAGCTTTCCTATTCGCATGGTCAATCTATGCTCACTTTTGCTGACCTCTCAGTATACCAAAACACCCCACACATAGGAAAAATACCAGCGTGGTTCACAAAGCTACAAAAATTACTCTCGAATCCTATTTCAAGTGAATTAAGTCAAAAGGTTCCACATTTGAAAGAATGTTATTTTGATTTTGAGCAACCAAACAAGATTCCTGGCAAACAATCTTTTATTGTGGGTTGGAATTTGGGCAATAATCAACCTATTATTGGAAAACTTCGACAGTCTGATAATACCTCTATCACAATTCAGCATTTTATCCCATCACATAATCAACAATGAAAAACAATATTGAAAGAATGCAATGGATGTCCAATCACTAATCCATTTACTATCTTACCTTCAACTGTTACTACGTCTCACAATTTATGTTTACTAATCCCCCACTCAATCTTTATTTTACAATCCCTGTCAATTATAGTTGGTCTGAATCTGGGCCCTTCTGCTCATGATCAATGGACATGTTAAAAGACTTAGCCGATTCCTTCTTCAAACAATTACATATTGCATTAAGACCACCTCTCGCACTTTCTAACATTTGTTTAACCTTACCTATACTTATAGAAAAATATATTCCTTCCTCTTATTCTTTACAATTAATAGCTTTAAGTTCACATTTTACACAGTATGCTGACCTCGAATTTTATTCCGATGGCTCACTTATTAATTTAGGGAAGCATTCTATTAGAATGGGTCTCGCTTGGCTTCAAACTACGCCTACTGCACTAATTATATCTTATACATCAGCCTTCACAACTGCTTTTCCTTCTTCCTCTATTGCTGAGCTTGCTGCTATTTTTACAGCAATTCTTGTTGTTCCTTCACAATATCGAATCAAAATTTTCACTGATTCTAGTGTAGTTATTGCACAATTCAACAAATACAAGAATCTGTTAAATTATTCACCATCTCAAAGACCATTTCTGAAGATAACTAACGTTCACATCTGGTATTGCATTTTTAATACTATAAAAAAGATGCATATTACTGTCTCACTGATCAAAGTGAAAGCACATTCAGGAGACACTTTCAACGATAAAGTAGATTCGCTTGCAAAACAATCTCTATCCTCATCAGCTCTTCAAATTAACATAGATAACGATAAGTATTGTTCGTTATTCTTTAATAAACTCTCTGTAGCTACTCCAATCTGGCCTTTCATTAAAGAAATCAAAAGAGCGGAAACTCTAGCAACATTCCTCAACTTAGACATTATTTCAAAATATCATCCCTCGGAGGTTCACTGGCTAGCTACTTTTCGTTGCATTACTGATAATATTGCCTCACGCGCTACGTGCTATGAAGCCTCAGCTATTAAACAAAAAAAAATCCATTGACTCCTCGAAATACTGCCAACATTGGAGGTTTTAAAAAAGCGTCATCCAAGACTTTATCACCTTTCATGGAAATGTATCCGATGCAATATTGAAATTGAGGATTTCTTGCATATTTGGAATTGTATCACTGTGTATACTGAGTTATCCACACTGGTTAAACAATCCAAACAACACCTTGTGCTACTGCTAGACCTTCATGCCATACCACAACATATCGATCAGTCAAACATATGGTTGATTTCTTCTCTCACAGACTTTTCATTCTTCGACATCATTAAAGGAATTGTATCGACAAGCCTCTACAATTTCATACTTTCTGTTATAGGAATGAAAGAAAATACAATTGCAGCACTCTCAAGTTTTATGCACTTTGTTTTCGAACAATCACAAATGATCTAGACAATGCGATGCTCATTATTTGATGATTTTGAAAAATCGAACAATATTAGCGAACGGGATAAGCGGTTACATTTTAAAGCTACAGAATATTCCTTTTCAACTTCTTCGGAACCTATCGTTTCCTCCGAACTCATTACTAACATGGTCCGTTTAGGATCACAATGGACAAATTTTTGGTGTAGTAGGGGCCAAGCCCTTTCCTTATTTCTAGTCTTCTGGAAAGTGATAATGTAATTTAG